TCACTTGATGTGGACGTGTGCACCTGTGTTTCAAATCAAATGTTTATTTTTTTGATTTAATTTCAAAACATCAAAACACATAAAGCACGTATTTACTGCTGAACCCGAAAACCCAGCAAAAAAATATGATCCACATCAAGCATAGAGTGGTCTTTTGTTGTTGTTGTTGTTTTCGATAAATCGATTTTGGTGTAGTGGTGATGATGATGATGACCTGAAATACTTGGGTTTTTTCTTGTTATCATGGAATGTTTTTTTTGTTCTCTCATTTCCATTCATTATTCTGCACATGTTGTAATGTGGATAGATGGAACTTAAAAAATCGATAAATTTGAAATTCAAATTATCATCATCATCATCATCATCATTATATTATTGTCATTCATTCAAAGTGACAATCGAATTATGCAATTTATCCAATTATCGTCATCATCATCATCATCATCAACATCGACATTCGTTTTCTGTACACACAATTTTTCTCTTGTCATTATTATTCTGTCAATTTATTTTGATTCAATTCAAATTCGTTTGATTTTCACTCATTCACATTGTTTCATTCATATTGAATATATTCATTATTATTATTGGTGGATGTATCAAAATTGATTGTAAGCTGCTAAACATAACACAACACTTTGCATTTCATTAAGTGAAAATATGCATAAAAATAATCACTGTGTGTGTGTGTATGTCGAAATACCAATGAGAAATCATTTTCAGTGCTGTTGATGGGCGTTACTTCATGTTTTTTTTTCTAAGTTGGCGTGTACAAAGTGTTTTCAGAGGGAAAACAAAAACAAACAAAATCAGATTGATTTGCATGAATAATCTCTCTCTCTCTCTATTCCCCGTTGCTATTGATGTTGAAAATCTTTTGCTCCCATTTTTGTTGTTGTTGTTGTTGTTGTTATTGTTGTAAAATTCATTTATTCATTTCTTTTGCATAATATGAGCAAATGAAATTGAAAAAAAAATTCCAAATCGTAATAAAATATAAAAATCAAAAAAAAAACAAATTGCAAACGATTCCAATCAAATCTATAAAAAAAAGAAGAAAATCAACGACCCAGATCTAGAATCAGAATAGAAAAACAAAACAAAACAAAAAAAAAAAAACATTTCGAATCCAATTTAAAATGAAAATTCCGATTCATGCTAATTTATTTTTTTCACTCGACGATAAATTCTTGTTTTTTATTTTCTACAATCACAGATGTGTATGTGTGCGTGTTTTGTGTGTGTGTGTGTGTGTGTGTGTACTCGTCGAAAAAAAAACATTGATGAAAATGATAAGGTCAATGAATGCAATGAAGGACAACAAATAACGAATAAAACCAAATTTCGATCAAGCAAAAAAGTTTTCTTTTTTTTCATTGTTTGAAAAAAAATCAATTTGATTGCTATTGCTGCTGCTGCAAGGTCGCCATACGGTTGGTGTTTGTCGTTGTTGTAGCTAACCTGCAATAACCGCAAAAAGTTTTTTGCACATTTTCATTGGTTTTTTAAAAAAAAAAAAGTTCAGTGTGCATTGCATTCCTGATAATATATATCGTACACTTATTATTATTCGATCAACGTTCATCTGTCATTCATATAGAATAATATAGAATCGATCACAATCATCAAGAATAAATGAGAAAAATGAAAAATGAAATTTTTTCATATTAATTTATCGATTTTTACCATTTTAAATGGAAAATCGATATATAGTTTATATACCTGTATGTGTGTTTATGAAAGTTTTTTTTTTTTGTTGTTGTTGTTGTTGTTGTTATTGTTTATAAGTCAAATGACTCACAACGACAATTCTCTATTTGTCAATCGATATTGCTTCATTTCATGTGATGAAAAAGAAAAAATAATATGGAATGATTTCCAACAAGAAAAACAAACAAACAATAATTTTCAAAAGATAAAAACGAAAACCTAAAAAAAAAGTTCAAGCATTGTTTGTGTGTGTGTGTGTGCGGTAATAACCGAAAAACGTCTAGTAATCGAAAGATTGAAAGTACAGAATATATTCATTGAGAATAATCTGCACACACTCTGGTTATATGTGTGTTATATAGAATCATGTTGGTAATCATTTTACCGGATATGGTAGTAGCATAGATTCTGTTTTTTTTCTTTCTCTCTCTAGATGATGTTGATATTGATTATTTTCTATGGCACATTTGGGCGCAAAATCTTTATTTTATCAGTGTGTATTTTTTTTTTGTTGTAGGTAAACATTTGGAATAGAATTGTATAAACACACATACACACACACACACAAACACCGAGAGAGAGACCATAAGGTTCGTTTTTATATAATTTTTTCCATTCATTGTTGGTGTGTTGGTTTTATCGGACACACACACACACACATCGACCACACAACGTACAATAATTGGTCGATGAAAAAATATCTTCAAATATGAATGAAACCATATTATCTTGTTTGTTTCTTCATTCATTCACTTTCTTTATATTGTAATGTTTGCGCGCCAAAAAAAAAAGAAAAAAAATCTGATTGGTTTTGTTTTTTTTTTTTTGAAATTGAATTTTTTGTTTTGTTTTTTGAATTTTCCTGTTCATCACCATCATCATCGGTTTTTTTGTGTGTTTTTCAGTGTGTTTTTAATTTTTCTTCGTTTTCCAAGTGTGTGGTTTTTGTTTTTTTTTTTAGTTTTTTTTTGTCGTTGTCGTTGACGTTGGCAATATCAAACTTTTGTTTTATTTTTAAAAAATTGATTTCGAATGTATTGCAAACATCGCCTCTTCCAAGACATTAAAATAAACAATTTCATTTCATTTTTTTGGCTAAATTTCAATTAAAATTGTATCGATTCTGCTACTGCTACGGCTGAAAATACATTTGATGACCAATTGAAAATCTTCATTCATTTCACGAAGCTTTTATTTATCTGTCTGTCTCTGTTGTTCATTCTCATCCAAATCAATTTTATGGATGTGTGGGCAACAACAACAACAACAACAATTTTTTTTTTCATTCATTCATTCTGTATTTTTGTCATCAATTAATCACCAGGCAATTTTTGTCAAACTAAACAGATTTTGTTTTTTCATCCATTTATTTACACAATAAAATTCTATGCTCACCGTTGAATGAAAATTGAAGAGATTTGTCGGTGTTTGTGTGTGTGTGTGTATGTTCCGGTATTGTTGAATTTCGTGAAAATTTTCTTCTTGTCATCATCATTTGTCATTATTAATCACCATTATCCATGTGTATTACATTTTCGAAAATAAACACACACACACACAATCACAATCGATCGATCGATCGATTAATCAATCAATCAAATTGATAGAAAATTTTTTAGTTAGTTACATATTAACCGACAATCGACAGAAGAAAAAAAAAAATACAACAAGAATTAATGATGATGATGATGATGACAAACTTCAACATTTATCACTAATCGATACAATCGATTGTTTTGGCCTATATTTTTTTGGTGCTTCTCATAAACAAGGTGCTTATTTGTATCATCATCAAGAATCAATTTATTAACCAACTGCTGCTGCTGCTGCTGCATCAGTAAATTTTATCGGAAGAAAAAGTTTGAAACAATCAACTTGATATATAAAAAAAATATCGATTCAATTAATATAAAATTCAACCGATAACGTCGACGACGACGAAGAATTATCATATTGTGCAGTGGGATTGTCATCTATCGATTCAATTATCGATTTGATTATTGATTGATTTTTTTCCTCTTCTTCTTGTTGTTGTTGTTGTTGTCGTCGTTGAAATTTAATCACCGGAAATATTTCATTCATTCAGTCGATAAACATAAATAGCAATATATTTATTTCCATTTCAAGAAAATCTTGTCTCAAAAAAAAGGCTGGAACGATATCGGGGTAGCTAGCAAAAAAAAAAAAAATTCCATATTTCAATTCTGTACATGAATGTTATCTGATTACACACACACACACACACACATACATGAGTCATTTTGGATCATTTATAACCAAAAGTAAAAGCTTTTTCATAAATTGAAAATCAACCAAAATAAAAAAAAACAAAAAATTTTCTCCTCCTTCTCCTTCTCTTCAAATTCTTTCGTTTTTGGAAATTCACGAATTCCATAATTCCAATTCCGGTCGATAACCACCACCACCACCACCACCACCACCACTACCACTACTACTACTACCTCCATCTTCTTCATCAATATTTCCGTATAAACAACAACAACAACAACAAAAAACAACCATCAATGACAATCAGATGAATTTTTATTTTGTTTCAATTGAATTGAATGATGATGATGATGATTTTCAATCTTTAAATGTCAAATCATTTTGATGAAGAAAATAAAAAAAAAATCGAGACAATTATTCATTCTTGATCTCTGTGTACGAGAAAAATCCCAAATTCAATTGTGGCCGAAAAAAAAAAAATATTTTTCCGATTGTCTGGAGACAGCAACGAAATGAAAAAAAAAAATAAAATAAAATAACAGCCAACTAATGTCCATTAAATAAATTCCACAGCAATCAATGCAAGCAAAAAGATTTATCATTTATGTTTCAAGTTTCTAAAGAAAAAAAAAATTCTCTCATCCGATAGACAAATTGATCCTGATCATCGTTAATGGGCCCATCACCAATAACAGAAAAAAAATGTGCTCTAATGAACAACAACAACAACAGCAGCAGCAACAACAACAACAACAGGCAGAGAAAAACATCTTAATTTTTCATTTTCTCGTCCATAAATAAATCCATAAAAGTGAAAAAAAAACGAGAAAAAAAAACCATTTGACAAAACATCAACAAGATAATTTCAAAGAATTTCTCTGAATTCTTTTTATTTTTTTGGCTCAACTTTTTTTTTGTTCTTGCAACATTTCACAAATAGCAATAAATAAAATTCAGAAATGAAATCAGAAATCAAACACATATCATTACACATATCACACACACAGAGAGAAGAAGAAAATGAATTTGTGATATAGCCGAAAAACTTGGAAAAATTCAATTTATTTTTTGTTCAAAACGAAAAATTCTGAAATTCTAAAAAAAATCAAAAATGCAACGAATACGTGATACATTTCGACGTCGTGGTGGTACCAGTGGTGGCGGTGGTAATGAACAACGACAATCACAAGCACCACCATCATCATCATCATCATCAATGATAATTGGTTCATCAGAATCATCATCAACATCATCGACATCATCACCGGCTGCTATAATTACTACAACTGGTTATTATTCTTCTACTACACCATCAACATTAGAACAACAAGCTAAAGCGGAAGCTTGTAGACAACAGAATAGACATCGGCGTCAAATGTTATTGTTACAACAACAGCAACAACAACAACAAAAAATAATGAAAAAACATCAACATTATCGTAATAATAGTGGAAGTAATGGTGGTGGTGGTGGTGGTGGAAGTTTATACGGTGGCGCTAATATCGGAAGCGGCGGAAATATTCATACTGGATTTAGTAGTAGTACAAATTCAACGCCAACACATTTAGCATCATCAATTGGATCTGGTCATCAATCATCATCACAACAATCATCACCATCACATTCATATACTGAAGAAATTATTACCGGAATTGGAAACACTGCTGGCACTACCAGTGGTGGTGGGGGTGGTGTTGGTGTTAGTAGTAGTGGTGGTGGTGGTGGCAGTGGTAATTTCTGGTGTAGTACAGGTGGTATATATCCATATGATATGACAATGACAATGATGATTGAACCAAGACGTGATGTACAACAAATTCAGCAACAACAATATCGACAACAACAACAACAACAACAACCACAATCAACATCATCAACACCATCGCCATTAAAATTATCATCATCAACAACAATAATCGGTATTGATGACGATGATGATGATAATCAGCATCATTTTAATTTTGAAATTAATAATGATCAATCAAATAGTAATAATAATGAAATGATGAAAACGTGCCTTAATAATAATAATAAAACGAATGATGTAATAATTACTGGTGGTAGTGGTAATGATGGAACACTAATTATTGATGAATATCAACAAAAATCAATCAATACAAAGCAATTAATGGTGGATATTCAATCAACAAAAATCGATTATTCATCACCATCATCATCATTATCATTGCAGGTACCATATAATAAAACACGTTCAGCATCATTTGATGATTCACGTCAAGTGGTTCCAAATGGTGGTGGCGGCTTATATGTACCACAAGATGCGCGTAATGTAAGATCAAAATCATTTGATCATTCAGCCACTATGTATTCAAATGGAAATCCATCACAACCTCAGCCACCAATTCAACAGACAATGAATAAATCACAAACAATAATAAATTCTGATGTTACGAATCGTTCAACAATGACAAGCAATATGATGATGAATAAACGTAGTGATTCTAATGCTTCCAATACATCAACAGCATCAACGGTGGTTACATTTTTAGATGTACCAAAATGGAAATTATTGATACGACGATCATCAGCTACCAATAATCAACAACAACAACAGCAACAACAGCAGCAGCAGCAACAGCAACAGCAACAGCAACAACAGCAGCAGCATCAGCAACAACAACAACAATCTTCGACAACAACAAATTCCAATTCTTCCAATGATTATTATTCGCAATTATCATTAATGTGTAAAGACTGTATTCACTGTCAATATATGTATGAATTGATTCAAGAACAACAACAACAGCTGCAGCAGCAGCAACAAAGATTGCCTACTGTTGATGAATACGGTAGATCAATATCACCACAATCAGAATCGATTGATGATGATCAAAATTCACCATCATCAGACCATTCATCATATAATGATGATGATTCATACAACAACAACAACAACAACAGCTACAACAGCAACAAATTCATCAAATTCTAACTACAGAATCATCAACGGATTCAAAACGTTCATTAGATCGTACCGAAAGTAATGGCACTGTTGGTCAATTAGAAGCAATGGATGAATTTGATGTTGATGAATTTATTGAACCAATTGAAGGTCTACCAATTGTAACATTGTGTCCACCAGAATTATCAATAACTGATACTGCTACTACTAGTACTGGCAGTAGTGGTGGTGTTAGTGGTGTTGGTGGTGATAGTAATTGTAATAATAATAATGATGGCTATAATATACAACAAATCAATAATGGTATCGATGAAGAAGATGATGATAATGGTTCCGGTATCACAGTGGTATCGTTAGAAGTACCTATAATGGGACAAAATTCATCAAAACAATCACGATCAGCATCAGTAGATTCACCATATCTATTACAGGTGCCTAAACGTGATGATATTGAAGTTGGTGAAGGGCCACCAAAAGCTCGATCAAAATCAGTGGATATTGTATTGCCAACACGACCAGGTGGCCCATATCTTTTGATACCACCACGACATCCACCAACAACAACAAAGTAAGTTACAATTCAATGCACACACCTACACACAGTCATTAATTTACAAATGACAGCGGAAAAGAAAATCATTTTCCAATTTACATGGAAAATTGTCTCGAACAATGCATGAGGAAATTATTTTGTTCATTTTAAAAATTTAATTCACAAAAATCTTTCTACAGCAAACGTTATAATAGTGGGAATGAGAAAATTTCCCGAAATAAAAAAAAAAAATTTACATCAATATGACAGTTTGACTGGAACATTTTTTCAATTTGTTTTTTTTTCTAGTCGTGTCAATTTTGATATTTTTTAAATTTTTCTCCCTCACACACACACAAGTTATCATTTTCATGTGTAATCACCAACCACGGATTGTCTTATAAATAATTCAAAAATTTTTTTTTTTTTGTGTTTTTTTGTCATTTTTGATTCTTGAACATGACAAAAACAAAACAAAAAAAAAATTCCATTGAAACAAAAAATATGTTCAATTTTTTTGACTGATTGAGAATCATAATTTTTTTTCGAGTACATTTATTCCCGGGAAAATTTTTCCCATTGAAAATTGACAGCAGTGTGAAGGAACAAAAAAAAAATTCTGTTCATTTGGACATCTCATTGGTTTGACATCGTCATCATTTTTTCATTAGAATTGCCAATCATATGATAATGTGGTATTTTTTTTTTGTTTGTTGACACTAGAAACGATTGCAGATCGTGTGGTCAGGTTTTTGAATTGAAAAAAATTTTTTTCCCATTTTTTTTCGTTGAAAATCGGATTATGGTCATTCTGTGTTCTTGTGCGTGTGGCCATCCATTTAAAAAAAATCCTATAAAAAGTAACCAATGAATATCCAATAACAACAACAAAAACACCGCTAATATGAATGAATTTGGCCAAGATTTGGCCAAAATTTAAATTCCATGTATACATTTCCGGATAAATTTATTCAAATTTTTTTTATATATATATATTCAATGCTCAAAGAGAAAAAAAAGAGATTTAAAAGGAAAAATAATCGCCCATTTTGCAAACAACCATTCTGCTGACCAACAACAACGGCAAAATAAATTCAAAATTGAAAAAAATAAATGATAATGGATGATCAATCACTATTTTCATTCATTTGTAATGTAAATGAAAATTCAAACGATAATCTTGCACAAGTGATAATGTTTTTTTTTTTTTGTTTGAATGAATTAATGAATTTTGAAAAAAGAGAGAAAAAGACATTAATTTTAATCATCAAGAGTGTGGATGCTTGTGTCATAACAACAACAACAATGATGATGAGATAATCAACTGAAAATTTTGAAAGAATGGGAAAAAATAATGAATTCAAAACAAACAAACAAACAAACAGACAAGAATCGATTGAAGTTGTTTATGAAAGGAATCTGGTGGAAAAATGTACCAGAAAGAAATGAAAAAAAAAAAATTCTCTGCATTTTTAATGAGCGCAAATGAATGATTTGAAAATGGAAATTTAATTTTTGCATTAAAATTAATTTTTTTTCTATTTGTTTGGTTGAATGCAATTAATTCTCGTTTGACCTTTTCTATAGAACAAAAAAAAAGTTTCCGAAAAGTTTTTTCCCGAAAACTTTTCCTCTTGTCATAGATGAACAGACAGACAAACAAACAACCAAAAAAAAGTTTTCCATTCACGAATAACTTTTTTTTTCAATTGTCATTCTGCATTCGTAAATAATTCATGCAGCAATCAATTTTTTTAGTCTTCCATTTCCAATGAATTTTCTTTCTTTCTATGTATCGAAATTCTTTCAATTCAATAAATTTTCAAGAATATGTATGGTAATTATTCACAATCACTACATGATTCAATAATTTTGATTTATATAAATATCAGGAAAGAAAAAAATTTTCAATTTTTTCAAACAAACGAATGAAAAAAAAAACCAAAATTCTTCAAGTCACCAGGTTTTTTTTTCTCATTTTGATTCTAGGGAATTTGATGAACATTGATGATGGTGTAGTGAAAAAAACTTGGGAGGAGAGAGAGAGAGAAAAGTCAAATGCAATTCGGGAATTTCAAAATTCCCGAATTGCCAAGATTATGTGTGTAATTTTTGGAACGAAAAAAAAAATCATTCGTCGTCATCATCATCGTTGTATTTAATGATGATGATGACGATGATGATGATGATATTAAAAATTAATTTGAAACAAATGACAACAAAAGACAACGCCCATTTATGAATGATAAGAAATAGGTATCGCTAGCGGTTTATGTTTCTATTTGTGTGTGTATATGTGTGTTTGTGGAAATCATCATCATTTCACAATGACAATTTCACCGACATTGATGATGATGATGATGATGACGATGATGATGGATTGCATGATATTGCAATTTTATTTCTCATTTTTTTCCCAATAAATAATTCACTGTCATTTATATGATTATGATGACGGTGATGATGATGATGATAATTTGATGATTTCCGTTTTTGGATTTTGTTTTGCTTTGTTTTTTGGAGTACTTTTTTTTATCGATGATAAAATTAACTTAATGATTGATCAATAATAAAACACAGGTAAAATGTCAAATGTCAACTGTAATAAATGGATAGAAAGAAAAAAAAACTGGACCAAATAAAACAGTGGACGCCCATTTTTTTTCCAGTTTTCCAAGAATATTCTACTTTCAATTTTTCAATAGAAAATCAAAGAAAATTGGCTTGACGAGTAAATTGTCACGTGTGTGTGTGTGTGTGTGTGTGTATTTGTGAGGTAACGAAAAAAAAAAACAAAAAAAAAAAAAATTTGCACATAAATTACACCCATTAAAAACGGGTGGAAACCAGAAATTTTTTTTTTTTTCGTTTTGTTTTTTTTTTTGTTGATTTAGAATTTCAAATTCAATGATTCCGTTCATATACACTATGACGTTTTCATTGTTTTTGTTTTGATTCCCTCCTCAAATCGTTGTCGTCGTCGTCGTCGTCGTCGTCGTCATTGTGTTGCCTGTTGCATGTGGTGATGTGTGTGTTTTTATAAGAAAACAAAACAAACAAAAAAAATCGTATGAGAAACAAAAAACCGATAAAAATACTTGTCAGTTTTCAATTTTCCTGGTGATGATCATTATGATGATGATGTAATCCAGAAAAAAACAAAAAAAAACTCCACTCAATCCGTGGTAACCGTTGATAACCGAAAAAAAAATCCATGGATCAATCCACTTGTCATTTGTTGTTGCTTCACACAGATTATTGCCAAATTTTGTTAATGTTTGACTGAGTTGAAACAAGAAAAAAAGCCAAAAAGAAAATCGATTGATTGAGATATATAAATAAATAATAAATGCAACAGTGAGAAATCATCATACAATTAACTGGCGACCTTGTCATTTTAAATATTTTGAAAATCATTATCATCATCATCATCATTTTACAAATCAACCGCTTTTTCTTATGAATCTTTATTGTGGTAATTTTTTTTCTCACACATTTATTATCGATCTACGAATTGAATTTTTCTCCTTTTTTTTCACCACAGACTGTACACATCCTACCCTCCCCCGTATAAAAAAGGTTCGAACCGCATGTTTTTTTTACAGTTCTAAAAATTCGGTACGTTTTTTTTTGTTTGATTTTAAGTTTTTTTTCCGTTTTTTTTTTTTTGTTTTTCATTTTAGCTTTACCATTCCAATTATTTTTGTTTATTCATGATTTGTATTGGATGATTCAATTGAAACGAAAATCATTCCAATTTGCTCAATCAACAAAGAAAAACCGTCCGTCAGTCCGTTTGTTTATATCCGCGAAAATTTAATTCTGCTCTCTTTTCCCCTGTTTCATTGTTGGTTATTTGAAATTCAAATTCGAATTTGAATTTGAATTTTTAAACCCACATCATCAGAAATTTTTTTTCTGTTTTGTTAATTTTTGGCCTTATTTTACGTCATCAAGAGTGTTATTGATTTTTCCGTTTTTTTGAAAATATAACTGGACGGAAACAAAAAAAAAATTTCCATCAAGAATGAGAATCAAATTATACGATTCTGAAACAAAACGACTGAATCAATCTTTACTCTGCCATATGATGATGATGATGATAATGTGAATAACGTAGATTCAAAAAATAGAATCGCTACAATAATAACAACAACAACAACCTACTACTACTACTACTACTACTATTATTATGAAGCAATGAAATCACAAATTCTTTTGAATGAAACATTAATTCAAAACATACGAAGAATCGTTGTTAAAATTCTTCCATCAAGTTCGATGAACTTTTCATCATTCAAACTTTTTTTTTTTTTTTGGTCTCTATATACATACATGAAAGACGAGAATATAGAATACAGAATTAAGGACGATCGAAATAATAAATAATAATAATGTGTGTGTGTGTGTTATGAATATTTATAATGAATATTTGTTGTTGTTGTTGTTGTTTTGGCAACCAAATCGAAATTTATTCTTGTCGTATTATTTATGATTATTATCATCATCATCATTATTTCCTGTCTATATTTGGTTGGACATCATTAAATGAATCATCAGAATCAGAATAATATATAAAGAACAAAAAAAAAGAAGAATAGAAAAAGAAAAGACTTTTGCACTTTGATTCAAATATATCGATAGTATCGTTCATTATTGTTATTATCATCATCATCATCATTCTTTTTAATCATACAATCGATTTATTGAAATATTTCAAAACGAGAATATTTCTTTTTCTGATTCCATTTGATTCAAAAAAAAATTTTTTGGATTTTGGAAGAAAAAAATCAAACAAACAAGAAGCAAACACTACAATAATGATAAGAAGAAGAAGGAGAAGAAGAAAGAAAAACGAAATGCAAATGAATCCATTTGAAACAAATTTTGTTGAATTTCTACAATAATAAAAAAAGAAAATTATATTTCATTTTGGATCGATGATTAATAGCCACTGCCAATACGATTGATTCAATTGGATATTTATGCAATTTTCAGTCAAGAATCGAGATTGATAATAATAATAAGTGATCTTCTGTGATATATTGCTCTTCTCTATTTTCGCACGAATTGAAGAAAATTATTTTTTTAAAAAAATTTTTTGTTGTTGGAATCCATATATATCCAAATTATTATTTTGTTTTTATTTCGTACGAATAATAATAATAAAAACCGGAAGAAATGGTCCATTTGACCAGTATATGTGGTAAATTATTCTGTATAAATCAATGTACAAATAAATTATACAATCATCATCATCATCATCATCAACAACAACAACAGCAACAGAATGGCCGTAAAAATAATCATCATGATCATCAACATCATCAACAAAAACAGAATAATGAAAAATCAGCTGATATTTTGATGGTGAAAACAAAAAAATCTGAAATATCATCAACATCATTATCATCGACAATAACATCATCATCTGGCACATTGTCGTCACCTAATTTAAATTCTACATTCATTATTGATGATGATGATGATAAAAATTGTCTGTCTCTCAACCATTGTAATGGCCATTATAAGTCATCAAAAATATTGACGCCAAAATCAGAGATTAAAAATAATAGTGATCATCATCATCATCATAATCATCATCATCAACGAAGATCAAGTTTACCATTTAAATTTTGTAGTAAATTTCATCATCACAGTGATACATTTGATTCTTTGATGTAAGTTTTTTTTTTTTGTTTTGGTCTTTTATTCTTTTACTATTTATATAATTCTTTGATTGATTCATTTGATGAATCATTGGTGGACTATTCTATTTCACAATTATACCTGGCTGGTTGTTTTTTGTATTTTGTATTTTTAGAAATTCTATTTGCCGAAAAACGAAAAAAATCGATGTTGGCTATTTTTTTCCATCTGTTTCTTTCAATTTTTTTTTTGTGTGTGTGTGTGCAGGCATGTACATATGTGTTTCTAAATTTAGTATCCGATTACATACACACAAGAATAAATTCTTGCTAGAATCATGATGATGCTTGTTTTTTTTTCATGCATTTTTGATTCCTGTTGGGAATTTTTCGGTTCCATTGTTTGTTTTTTGTTGTTGTTGTTGTTATAATGTTAATAATGTGTGTTGTTCCCGTTTCACCTAGTCTTAGCTCTCCATGTTATTGTTGTTGATGATGATGATAACGTTAATGCTGGAATTCATTTTCTTTGAATTTCTATCCATTTTTGATCATTTTCGTTGTTGTTGTTGTTGTTGTTGTTGTTTTCCTCTTTACTCATAATTACATTCTCTCTATACATTGTATCATCATCATCGTTTGAATGTTCATAATGGATGTATATGTTGAATTTATTTGAATTTTTTTTCTACTTCGGCTGCTGCTGTTGTTGTTGTTGTTGTTTTCCAACTGAACTACAACTGATACGATTTTTTGTTTTATTTTGAAACTTTATTTTTAAATTTTTAAACAAATAGAAAACAAGATAATAGTAGCAGTAGTAGTAGTAGTTGGGCAACGAAGCACACTTTAATGATGGCGAACGATGATGTTGATGATGATGATGATAATGATGTTACCGGAGGTAAACAGCTTTTCAATTGTTTTTTTTTCTATTTGTTTGAAATTCTTTAATTCAAAAGTTAAATTCATTCACCCATTTTTAAAGTGAGAGCTAGAGAATGTGAACAAAAAAAAAAAAGAATTTCCGTTTGTTTTTCCAACTATTGAAGAATTTAATCAAAAAGTAAAAACAAATATTCTGTATATATATGTGTCTGTGTGTGTGTATGTAATTTGATAAGAATTTTTGTTCTTGTTCCATGATCATGATGATGATGATGATGATGATGATGGAGAATGTAGTTCTGTTTTGCAAATGAAATGAACCTTATCCGGTTTTTTTTCCATTTCCAAAATTCCATAATGATATCATTATACATCATGATGCTTTTGTTTTTGTTGTTGGAACCGGATGAGGTTCCATCTGTGTTGTGTGTGTGTGTGTGTAATATTCAAGTCACGTTAACCTGTAATCACGCACAAACACACCTGTACACAAACAAACAAACAAAAAAAAAATAATGAAAGACTGGAATTTTGAAACGTGTGCCTGTGTGTGTGTGTGTGTGGGTTTAGTGTGGATGAGGAATTTGAATTTGAAATTTTTTTTTCTGTTTCAAAAAAATTTTACCATTCATCATTGTCATCAGATTTATTCATTGCAGCTGAAATTAAATGCAAATTTTCTTTTTTTTTGTTTTCTGCTCTGTTTTCTCTCGTTTTAAATTCGTAATTCGTCACTTTTCAATCAATTTCGGATTGTTCATTATCCAAATGCCAAAACCGAATCGATTGTCGATCGTTTGGCTGCTTTAGATAGTTTCTTACGTCATTGATCGTCTGCATTTGGCGTTTGTTTGTCTGTTTGATTTGATTTGATTCTATTTCTGATCCATTTTTTTCAATTTTTGTCTTAATGTTTTTCTCCTTTCGCCGGTAATTGAAATCCGGAATTTTTTGTTTTTGATTTTGAAAGTGAAAACGGTTTTTCTCTTGTGACTTTTAATTTTCATCATAATGAAAATGAAAACTTTTTTTTTTGTACGTCCGGATATCCGTCATTAGAATCGTTTAAGTGTTTGATTTCTTCATTTTCATTTTATTAGTCAGTTACAAAAAAAAAAAATCAAAAGAATAAAAATGTCAATCACCGAAAAAAAAAAAATTTATTTGATAAATGAGTTGCTTGTTAATATTTTTCAAATCCATATTCCATATGGATTCCGTGTCTATTTGTTGTGTGTGTGTGTGAGTGCGTGGGAGTTGAATTCCGGTATAGATTCGTCTTGTTTTTCTTGTTTTTTGGAATAAGAAAAAGTATCATCATTAGGTTTAACAGGAAAAATGAATACCAAACACACACACACACATGGATGACAACAACAACAAATTTTCTATGCAAATTGTCATCTTTCTTTTTATCGTTGTTGTCGTTTGTCTCGTGTCTCTTGTGTGTGTGTGTTTTGACTATAGAATCACATCAATGAATATGTATAATAAATGATGATGATGATGATGATGATGGTGATGGATAAACGTGATATATGGAAATGAAAAAAAAACGAAAAAAAATCTTTTCTTGGTTTTTTTCAGAAAAAAAATTCTGTGGAAAAAACTTTTCCATTCTGGTTTTCGTGTGTGTGTGTGTGTGTGTGTGTGTATATGGATCCATAATGAAATGAAATGAAAAGTTTTTCTTTCTCTTCAATCACACATTAGATTTCAGATTTAGGTTGGTTTTAGTCTCTCGGTAATAAATTGTCAAGTTTTTCTTTCAATATTCAAGAATTTTATTCATTTTCAAACTTTGAATAGAGAAAAAAAAACTCTTTATGAATAAATTTCGTGTTTGTTTGTTTGTTTGTTTTTTCTTTTATTGATTTTTTTTCTCATTCTTTTGCCAAATAATTCACCATTATAAATATTGGATGGATACACAGAATACACAGGAATATTCTACGATAATTCACGTACACATGATCCCCACCTGATTATTCTCATTTTTTTCTGCTATACTTGAGAATTTTTTTTTCATTATTATTATTCTGTGTAGAATCCATTGATGAATTCCAAACCAATCCAATCAATAATAATGATAAGAAAAAAAAAAGAAAAATCGTTTGTCCAACGAATCCTTTATCCACCATCATCCATTGATTATTTTTTTTTCACCATTATAATGATAATGATTCTTGTTAGAATCATCATCACCATTTTTTTCGTGGATGTGGATATCGAATAAAATTCTGGATTCTTTGGTGAAAAAAATATATATTATTATCATTCTGATTCTGATTTTTTCTTTTTTGCTCAAAAAATCTTCTATATTTGCATTCTTTATTCTATAATTCTATATCACACTCACCATCATCACCATCAACATCATTCCATTTATTCTTACACAAACATTGGTTCATTCGTTCTTTTTCTTCGAGATTTATATTCATTCAATTAATTCTGATTATTATTATTATTATGATTCTTTCATCCAGTTTTTTTTCGTTATTCTCTCTCTCTCTCTCATCTAATGTCTATTGCTTATTTTTTCTTCTTTTTCTTATTCTTATGATTATTATACCCATTCATTTGTCTTGGTACGTTTCATTCATTCAATTCAATTCAGTTCGATTCTTTCAGTACAAGTATTATATCCTTAGGTCCATATTATTATACTGCACTATATTCGTGTATTTGTTCAATGTTGTTTGAAATATACAACTTTTTTTCCCATTCAACACTCTCCCAGTGATTATGATTCCTATAGGAAGATTTCATTATGTCTTTTTTTTCTCATTCGTTTTGTGTTTGTGTGTTTGTTCAGGCCCCAGATTTTTTTTTCTTCTGTTTGATTCTATTTTTTTTTTGTTCTCAATATATCTTTCTATATCTTTTTTTTCACACGTTTGATAGAAAGAGAGAGAGAGAGAGAGATTATTTTTGGCCATTTTTTTCTTGTTTTTCGGGACGAATTTTTTTTCCTATTTAAATTCAATCAAAATTTTTAATTTGGTAATTTTTTCTGTTGTTGTCGTTGTTGTTGTTGTTGTTGATTGTTGTCGTCATCATCATCATCATTAATGTT